AGAGATCTTTTACAATTAATTGTTAGCTAATGTTCATTAATGTTTCTTTTCTGGATTCTCTACTCTTCACTTCAGATCTTCGTCGTTTTTGAGTTCTTGTCTTGGTTGTCTGTCCTGTCATGTTGAGCTTCTTAACGTTTCACATGCTTTTTACTCCGCTAGTCCACTGAATGTTGAGGGGTTGTACACGCTCTTTTATAGTAACGGTTGAGAGAAACTTGCACACGTCATCAACCAGAGTGGGGTGATCCTTATCCAACCAATTAGCGTTGTAAGTTAGTAATGTGGGTTGGTCTTAGAAGCTCGTTCCAGCTCTCATATCTTGTTTATATAAGGCGTTGTCGCACTAGTCGAGTTGGTCTTCTGCTCAATCGATCAATACTTAAAAATGTTCACAACTTAAATATTTCATCATCAACAACTAGAAAAATTTACAAACAGTACCTCTGTGAACAATATCTTTCAACTTTAACTATTTTCACTTTTATTTATCGAATTGAACTTTTGATGACGTAATCTATTTTCACATGACGAATGTGCCGTTTTTAATTTTCTTATTTTCTTCTTGATCTCGCTCGACCGGCGGTGATGAACATGCTTATTTCATATCATATTTTTAAGAAAATATTATTATATTTTGAAGAAGATGTAAAGCTAAGCTTATAAATAAATCGACCGTTATTTAAAACTTTATACACTGTATTTGCAATTGTGGAACAAGCGAGAAAGTAGCGTGCATGTGTAGCGACGACAAATAGTCTCGCCATCTCGTGTCCTCATTCAACAAATAAATTCTTGAAGCATTCCTTTCAGCATAATATTGCTTTTTTCTAGCAGCCTTATCTTCGTCACTCACAATTCGAGCCTCTTCGCCTTGCGACATAAAATGAAATAATTCTGCCCCTGAACTGTCCGTTTGTAATACAACGCGCTAATATCGCATATCATTAACATTCCAAAAGTTGCTCCCCCACTGATGGAATGTGTTGATGCGCAGAATATATGCGCAGAACGGACTTTACATCATCTTTAACATAATTTTATAGCCGTGTCAGTCGTCATTTCTATGACCTCTTCGGACCATATCTTATTGGCGTCAGCACGAAAAATCCGCCATATTTCTTGCTTCACTTTCTGAGCCCAAAACATTAAGAGCAAGTCCTCCAGGAATTATTATATAGCTCAGTGTCATCGACCCGCAACCTCGCTGCGAGTGTTTGCTTGCATCTAATTAAAATAACTGTCAATCAGTGTACGAAATTACTCGCAGGCAGCTTGCGCATCAGTTTTTGCGAATTGCGATGATTGGGTGAGAGCCTTTAGCGTCTGGGATATACAGTACAGTGTTGTAATGGACGACTTGCGCTTTAGACTAACTTTTGATAGAAGTAACTAGAGGGAAATAAATCACCCCAGCTAGAAAGATCTTACTTAAATTAGTAAAACTGCCAAGTTTGGCCGCCAAATTTTGTAAAATTCGGAAAATATAGCCATGCGAAGTTGGCAAATTTTGTATACTTTTGTATTACGTGCGGAAATGTGTAACTAATTTAGTTACTAACTTCCGGTCGTAATACAAAAGTATACAAAAATCGACAACTTCGCATGGGTATATTTTCCGTATTCTACAACAATTCGCAGTCAAACTTGGCAGTTTTACTTATTTTAGTAAGCTCTTTCAAAAAATGTCCTTTTTATCGCCGAGGTAAGAAATTAGTCTAAAGCGCAAGTCGTCCATTGACATGCAATAATAGATTTCATTCTTACTGTTGTTCAAGGCTACTCATTTTGGCAGATCAAATTGATTCACGTCCGAGAAAAGAGTTATACAATCCAGCTGAAACAGAACAAAAAATCAATGAGTACTGTTTAATTCTCTGTGATCACAATAAGTAATCTGCATTGCCACTGGTTTAAATTATCCTAAATTTCAAAGCATTTGTTACCAACTTTAAAGTAATCTAACTTCGCGTTAATGAACATTTCAGTCAGCAAATTCTTTAAAACACATTAAACATAATTTCAAGCTGTATTAAAGAGTATTGATTTCCGAAAGAGAGGACTATAATGAGGCAGCGGCAAAAATTAATAATGATTGACCTGCGTCTGGCACATTATGAATTGAATTATTTGTTGAGAATATTTCACAGGCCTATCCAATATTTCGTTCATATTTTAATATCGCATTCGTATTGATTCTATCGATTCTCTTGTTTAGGAACATACATGCAGACATGAGAAGGCTTATGCAAAATTACCAGCAAGGCATTTTGACAATTCAACCGATGACCACAAAAATACTTTAAAGATTGTTAGAGATGGATTGGGAGAGTTTGGCTGGGGATGGAAATTTCAAAATTTGAATTTAGAGAAATTATATACAGGTGAAATTATATACGTGTCCAAAAACCCCCAAAACTATTGCAATCACCTGTTAAAATTTGACTTGTTCGCGAATTTATGCTTGTGGGGATTGACGCAGCTAATAAAATGCTGAATATAGGCCTATAAAAATTTAAAATTTTCTAGAGACATGTCGAAGGTCATCGTGCTTCAGTTGTAAATTTAGATATTATTATCCATATCTGTAAATTGTAATTATTGGTAATGAAAATCTTTTGTGGGTGCAAACAAACTTTACAGTCATCATGTATAGAAATGCTTATGGCGAACATATATACACTTGTGGGTCCCAATAGGTAGTAGCGCAGCCAGAACGATAATTGGAGGGGCCAATATTCATATATTCGAGATACGCAGGATTAATCTCTTTTCAAATCAATTGTCTTTACAGTCTGTTTACATGAATATATGAATATGGACCCCCCGATGATCAATGCTGGCTACGCCACTGCCAACAGGGCGCTAGCTTACGCATTCAAACTCTATTACATTGTTATGGGAGATTTAAATCTTTCGTTCTGGTATACCGATCTACTTTGTAGCACACATGCAAATATTGCTAGCTTAAATTCTGCATCCAATCCACAAAAAATAAACAAATAATGTGTCTGTATGTTTGGTGTCTGTATGCCTAAAAAAAGGGGAAATCCCTAAACAAAAGGGCAAATCCCTAAACAGTGTTTCTATATTTCAAGCTTCACTAAGGATAGCTAACATCATTCATTTAAAGACGTTGTCTAAAAGTTTGATTTGGAAATGAGTTGAAACGTGAACTAACATTATATTGCAACGGTTAAACTGATTTATACAATGTACAAAGTAGCACAGACATTATGAATTACAATTAAGTACGTCAACCTCGCGTTTTTGCGCTGACTGAGTTATACTCATATAGTATGATACTTGTTTGAGGGAAAGATTTGCGATGACTATGAGCCAGTTCAGAACTTAACAGCAAGTGTGTAATTACGGTTCAGTTTAGTAGAAAAATTAGGACGAAAGAAACCTTTGTAATTGTAACAATACAATTATATTATTTCACCTTATGATCTAGTAGCTGGTATATTCCAAAACAACTTCCTACCTTGTAAGCTAAAGGGTAAATTTTGATTACCAGATCCCGATTTGCAAATAATGACAGATCTTCAGTGCTTATACTTGAATATATATACGCTCGTGCAGGAAGCAAAAGATCAGTAACCTGTTCGACCTCTTTTCAGTTCAGGATTCACGAAGAAATATGAAGCGGTTTACAGTAGCGTAGCCAGCCTGTCGATTTGTCCCGCTATGCTAATATTTTGGTGTTCACTGACTGTGAAAACAATAAATTTCTAAAGACATGAATAATCATAATAACTCGAAATTTACATATGCATAGCGGGACAAAATCGTCAGGCTGGCTACGCCACTAGCTGTTTATTAACTGCATGCTAGGCAGTAAAAAGCGATGGTGTGAAACATAGAATCTGAAATCGTGGAGCATCTTGGGATCTTTGAGTTCATATTGCAGTGCCCGCGCAAAGTTTGGCACTGCATTGTATTCTGCGTGTGAGTTTGTTAGTTTGTTCGCATCAATACGTTTCCTTAATCGTCTAGTAAAAATTCCATGTACATGCTAGGAATTTATTCATAATTTATTATTAATCTCTTGCACATTTCCAGAACTCCCTTTTTCGAGGAATGTTTTGTTTTCAATTTTAATCTCGGACTGTCACGATTGCGTCGTATCTCCGGTTTTATGCACCGAATAAAGACAAAAATAGCACCTTTCGATTCAGCGTTTGAAATTATATTAGCAGGTGTCAAATGTATTACTAAACCGAACAGTATTCTAGCGATATATGGTCTTTAAAGACAGGCGAAATTGTACTGTTAACAAAACTCACTTTCATACAGTTTTGACTAGCCTGCGCACATCCTCGTCCCCAGGGCCTAGCTCCATAGCCTGCGCACAGACTGTGATATACAGGGTGTCCCACAAAAATGTCCCCCCTATTGAAATGAAGCTTTTGTTGGAATTTGAATGCATGATTAACGCAGTAGCGTGTAAATAGCATAGTTATTAGGTTGAGGCATTCAAATAAAGCGTCTTGCTTTGAATGCTTTCAATTGGGTTTATCATAATATTAAGGCAATCAGATTCTAACAAAGGCTTGATTTCAATAGAGGGGACTTTTTTTGGGACACCCTGTACAGGGTATATTGTTACTCATCTATGCTTATAAAACTATTTGAATACCAACAGAGTTGCCTGCGGAGGAGGCTATAACTATTACTATATTGAAATACAAGTTTGGAAAAATGCAGGCGGTATTTATAACGTATGAGAAAGTGATCGCAAAAAGTCGATCGCGCGACATTTTGCACTGAATGGAAATCCGCCTTTACATACAGACAGCTCAATGTCGGCTTCCAATTTCTTTATTTGTCCGTTGTTTTATATTGAATTTTCTAATGTTAATGGTGTTTTGATTTTCAAGTTTACATTTGTGAAGCCCATTTCTTGAAAAGAGACATTAGGGTATAAAAAGTGCAGGGGGCAATTATGTATTCGCCCCCTCCTACTCCTAAAGTGGGGGAGGACCTGTAGGTCCGCCACCGCTCTTTAGGATTGAAGCCCTTGCAGGATCGTGTTTGAACTGTTTTAGTTTTAATCACTCACTCGTTTATTCTACGTTAGAAAACATTGATGAATGTCTTAGAGAACATGAAATAATTATATAGCTGTGATGAACCAAGATTTCGTCACCTATTCAAATTCAAAGGAGTCTCTCCTCTACCATTTAAAGAACGTGTAGAACGAGCGGGGGTATAGTCGTTTGTGGCAGGACCACTGTGGGATAAAAATCACACGTTCCCTTGATATCATGTTCTTCTGCAAGGGTTGTATGCATCATGCAATGCATCCTTGCATCTTATCCTTGCATCCTCTGCAAGGGTTGTATGCATCACACGATCGCAATTTGTCTCTTAAAAATCCAACTTGCTGCCACCCAATGATGCTCCGCAACCATATGCCCCAGTATTCTTAGACAGTGGATCTTTCCGTCCATCACTTGAGATTTCACCAACGTCAGGCGGAAGATGTAACTTCTAAAAATAGAACAAAATCTTTGTTCGAAGCAAATCTTTCGGCCTGGGGCCGGTTGTATAAAAACGCAGTTAACTTTTAACTTTTAGCTATAGTTGGTGAAAGAACTGACCAATCAGAATTCTGAGTTAACTACGATTTAACTACGCAAAATGTAGTTAAGCGTTTTATATACCGGCCACAGGCTCTCACATCTCACCGACGGTTGGCGATGGCTATTGTCGGTGATCACTGATCCAGGCTTTACAGCAATAAATAGCTGTATCAACATGCGTCACATAGTTTCATGACTGAGTGTTAAATGTTTCAGAAATATCACAAACTATTCGGATACAATATAAATAACGCTTGACGGCCCCCAAAATTGTACCTATGGTACCATCATAAACAGCTACCTCGATGAGAAATTTTCTTCGCCGAAGTTTGAACGCCAGATCCAACGTCTCAGGCATAAAGCTTGTCAGAGAATTGAGTCTTGGAAGACGAACAATATGAAATAAACCTACACAATTATTTCGAGAGAATTAGTAAACAGTTAAGCTAGTTTTCCACTGGATCGAAAAATTCCGCCTAGTGGAAAACCGGCTTTACAGTAGGTTTGGCGCAGTTAATTTTCGAAAATGCTTATGAATATTCATCACTAGACTTTTTTTCACGGAAGTTAATCAATGTTACGGATAAAGCGGTAGTTATGATAGGAAAGTTGAGCATGCACCAGGTAAAAACAAAAAAGAACGTCATCACAATTTCCGATCTAAATAACAACTTCTATTCCCCTTTTCTCATCTTCTATTGCTTTCGCGGTAAATCAGTGTTAAGTATTTTTGCAAACGTCCAAAGAAACAATAATACCATGCAACTATTTTCTTAACCAACACAAAAGCATATACCGTGATAATCTTTATATATTGGATTCGTTTCTTTCTCTGATCCTGCAAATGACTCAAACTTTACTACGGTGTCACAGAGTCTCTCAACACGATTGATAAATGTCGAATCCTAAAAAAATAGTAAAATACGTGCATGGTATGATATTTTATCTCAGCTCCTTTAGATGTTTGGGGTCAAAAGGGTCTCAAAAGGATTAAAAAACTTAAAGAATTGGCCCACTATAGCACCACTTTGGGAAAAACAAATTTTTTGGGTTTTTTTACGAACTTTGCAAAAAAAATATTACAGCACATTTGGGGGAGAGATAAGCTTAAAATATATAAAAAATAAATCGACATTTCGTCGAAACTTCAAAAATTTTACGAATTTGGTTGTGAGAAAACCCACGACATATTGCCCACGACAATTTTCAGGATTTTTTTCAGAAAATGAGCCCTGATCTCACCTGGTGAATATAAGAAGGAATTGTGATCAAACAAACAGCAAAGGAAGATCTTAATATTCCTCTGAGATAATACAAGAACATCGTTAATGAATGATCGTCATCACTATGGTTACACCACAACGGTGATTCCAGGGATTGTATTGCAATTCGTAAAATAACTCGATCTTTGATCTACAAAATATTTAGCATTACAGCCATTATAGTTTCATGTTTTTTATCACGCCAGTGGAGTGGATGCTGATTTTCGTAGTATGAAGAAATCATGGTTAAAGAGGGTACCGATTTTTTCCATTTTGTTAAAATTATTGTTTGTGCTTCTTAAATCATGCTAAGTAGTTTCGTAGGGAGGACATCATTCGCTGCTTTGAAACCCCCCTCTCCCCTCCTTCAGTTACCAATCCAGTTATAATCCAGTCAAAATATACATTAGTCCAATGTTTAAACTATGGGCGCTTTGCTTTATACGGTAAAAAAGGGCCAGACCGGTCCTGTTGTATTTCAGTACAGACAAAATACTGGTATTTTAGAGTGTTTTAAGAACTCTGCATTCATGTATATCGTTATTTACATCTTCCTAGCACGGAAAATGCAGCTTCACCGCTGTATTCGTAACGAAATACTCTATTTCAATGCAAAATATGACCGGTCTGACCATTTTTGCCGCCTAAAGGAAAGCGCCGTATTGTCTCCTATGCATTTTTCTGTGATTTGCTTCTCATTTTGATTATTTGTAAATCAGTTTCTTATTAAAAATTAACGACTACATCAACGAGTTTCGCCAGAAAGCAAGGCAACATGCTGACGTGAGGCGCAAGTCACCGTCAAACAGCAAATTCTTTTCAGAGAATGTTCACATTTGTTTGAAGCCGGCGAGAGAGCGAGTTTGCTAAAATAGTATCGAATCGATACGGAAGAAACAGACTGTAGTGGATAGATTTTTGGTAAGCAATGCTTTTGTACCTGCTTTATCTAAAGCCAATGAAAATCATTCTTGCGAGGAGCTGCGACCCTACCCGGCTAAATTACATTCTAGCTTCTCATAAAATCATGTTTTTCATACATGAAACTACACCAATATATAGTTTTAAAATGGATTCATATCCATGCAACAACTCTGAAATTAACGGCTCTGCCATTCTGGTACGTGCATACGTTTTGATACGGTATACGTGTCGAGAAAGCAAAAGATATAGCTACGATGTGAATTCAGTAGAATAATGGAATAGAAATGAAAAATTATCCTAAGTGCACACTAGGGAACCTGTAATTATTAGCACCGAAGGGTAATAAATGATCGTAATATGAGAGTTTAACCTCTTTGTTGGTAGTAGAATGACCGTTTTCTTCGATTACTTTTCTTATTGAGTTTAACAAATTTCGATATTCCGGATTTAATGATGATCTGCAAGAAATGACGTTAATCGTTATGTCTGACAAGCATCGATTATTCATCACAAATGTAACAGGATAAATATACCACAAATATATGGACAGAATACAATAAAACAGTTGTTGTTAAAGTACATGTGACATTAGGAATTATAAAGATCAACGTAATGGTGACCTTAAGACTGACGTTAACGACAAACCGGTGAACGTGGGAACGGCAAACTTTAAACCACATTTGAAAGTGAACCTTACCGGTTTTCAAAAGCTTAGTTCACATTTACTGCTTAAAATTCCATGGTCAAGATTTCACGACTTTAAAAAACAGCTAATTATCAAATGAGGAATAGGAATCTTAGTTTGCCGTTTGCGGATAGCGGTTCACCATAAACGTGAATCTTAAGGCTATTTTCCACTTACGCGTTTTTCATACGCACGTACACGCACGTAAAAGTCTAAATCCTTATACATGTTACCTTTGAAAAAACTAAGTGAATAAATCGAAGGAACATAGTTTTCTGCATATTTTAGTATGCATTAGTTGACCTAGAAGTTAAATAATAAAAATTTATAAGCATTTAAAATTTTCCGTACGTGTACGTGCGTATAAAAAACGCGTAAGTGGAAAGCAGCCTTTAAGGCCCTGTTACACGGTGCAATTTTTCTTTCAACTTGCAATGCAATTCTACTTTTGAGAGATGTATCTTTGGGAACAACGAAACTTTTTTGTTTATGAACTTCTTGAACTTTTCTTCTGAAAGGCTTTTCACTAACTTACATCTCTTAGAAGTAGAATTGCATTGCAAGTTTCAAGAACACGTGTAACATGGCCCTATAGTGTCTAATATCTGTGATCTGTCGACCCGAACGCGACCATATTTTGCAAAAAAATAAACCACCGCGCGTTAAAATGTTCATGCACGTACATCCTCGCTTTTTGATATCTTGAAGGGCTTTTTGCCTATGTGCATACATATGAAAAATTTTCCATACAGCATGCAGCCTGCGTGACGGCTATCGTTGATATGTTTATACGACTTTATAAAACTGGAAATGTGCAAAAACTGTTATGCCTCGTTTATTGTTCATCCTCATTGGGAAAAGGTGCTTGATTCTTGGCGGGAGAGAATAGAGAATCATCCGTCATCTTATCAGGAATTTAGAGTGCTGAATATCAGACGAATCATGAATGCATTTTTTTAATAACCCTAGTATTCAAGTAGGATTTTTCTCTGAGTCTATTTTGTGGATGAGTTATTATTATTTCTGCTATTACATCCTTTCTTCTTTTTTGTTGGGGTTTTTCTTTACTAAAGTTTACTTTTCACTTTAATTTTAGGAGAATGTAAACGAGCTATTGATATGGCATTTGCAGTCGACACATTTGCTGTTTCACATTATCTTGGTAAGTACGATTGTAAACTCTTTCGTTATTTTAATATCAAAAGGGAATGTTTTCTAATTTTCCCAAAGAAGAAAAAGTCCAGGGGTGCTAATCACCATTTACCTTCGGGAATCTAAAATTTCGGTGGAAATTCCTTGTACCATTTGCTTTTCCAACCGGAATATCCGATATCCGATTCCCCACTTGAGGTAAATAGTAAGCGCCCAAGGTGTGCACCTCCCAACATTCCAATTAAAGGCTTGTACCTTGTTTGGCATTGCGAATCTCCATCTTGTCCTGACCAGGTGTCTCTTGACTTATATTCGTATTTAGAAACTTTATTTATTCTTGCAACATCCACAGTTTTTGTAAAGTCAAAGAAGTGGCCAAATTTCACAGCGGCTGGGCGAACTTTAGGCATGTTTTCATACCTCCAAGCAATTTTCATGGATTGATCGCCTTCCGGCGATTTATTCACGTCAGATGCCCCAGTCTCGTTAACGTCATCAACAGCACAGGGCAAATTCTAAGAAACACATAAACGATTATAGATACTATATTCAGTATTATATCGAATTATATCCCTCTACCATATTACATGTTTTGTAATAGTAAGATATTGAATCATGATTCAATCAAAAAAATACATAAGGAATAACAGGTCCATGGTTGTCAATCCATTTTAGCATTGCACTGCTGGATTTACTTCTTGAACACAATCATTGGCCTCAGACCTATTCATATTCACTGTTCTATGACTGTCCTAAATTTTAAGATGGATTGATGCCTTTGCATATATAAGTAAATTTTCATGGTTCAAGATTTATTCCAACAAGAAAATGTCTAATTTTAGGTTATTAAAAGCTATTGCACCTTCCATATCTCCTCGGGATCATGACCTGCAGTGGCTAGGAACAAGGAATGTCTTGATACAACACCTTCAGCAAGGAAACATTTGAGTAATGTCTTGGAATAACAAGCATAGTTGTCTTCCTCTAAAATACAGGCAAATAATTCAGCTTGGGACTCCCGGTTTAAAACATGAAATATCTTAATGATTTACATAGACCTGTGTAAAATCTCTCTACAAATGACTAAATTCGACGTCTATAGAGGTAACACAATATGACATATACGATATTAATGCTCTAGAGGCAATTTCAATCCCACTTTAAATCAGTGGCGTAGACAGCATGACGATTTTGCCCCCACTACTTTAGAAACAGTGGCGTAGCCAGCCTGACGATTTGTCCTCTTATGCTAATATTTTGGTGTTCATTGACTGTCAAAACAATGAAATGAATAATTATAATAACACGAAATTTACATAGCGGGGCAAAATCGTACGCTGGCTACGCCACTGTTTAGAAATTTATTGTTTTCACAGTCAATAATGAACACCAATAGGTGAGAAGTCATAGTCACTTGTAATATGCTTGGAGTTTCAACGTATGGGCTTTGAAAGAACACTTTCATTTGAATCAGCTGAAAATATATATTATAATTAATGACATACCAATTAACAACACTGTTCCAACAGCAAGACCACCACCTACAAGCAACACAGTCAATAAATAAATGAATCACTGTTGTAGAAATACAGTAGTACTTAGAGATTATATCAGTTCTATGAAATTGGGAACCTGTTCACTATTAGCTATATGTAACTATGAACATAATAAAATACTTTATCTTATGTAGATTTTAGGATTGGTACCGATGCAAAAATTGGCGCAGTATAAACCACTAGACTTGGTAGGGATGAAATTTGACCAGCTGTTAAACAATCTTTATCTTTCCTACATTTTTCATACCAAACTAAGAATAATGCATACAGGGCTATCCTCAGGATATTTCCCTGGGGGGAGGGGTGAAGGTAATCTAAACTGTCTGATTGACAGACTTGTACTGACTACACTCTGGATGAAACTTTGTCAAGTTTCTATTGCTCGGTCGATAGTAATTACGCAGAGAGTAAAAACAGGATGACATAGTGATATTTACCGTCTGCGAGTAATCAACAATATTCTTTATAGTATAGTCAAAAATATTAGTCTACCGACTAAAATAGCAATTTTACCGAATGAACCTCAGAATAAACTTTCTGGGGGGGGTGACACTACAACAACTTCTCCTCCCATAGCCCCAGGCCTGAATGCATAGTGTAAATGTGGCTTTAGTATTTTAATCTTAATATATATTGGCAAATCTATGGTGATATGGTCTTTTCGATGATACGTTCACTACCCAGGTTGCTTTTATTCAGCTATTAACTGGCAATATCTGGAAATAACCCTTATTTTGAAAGCATATGTATACAATTGTTAAGGAAAAACCTTTTCATCATTTTAGCATAAAAGGTGCATGTGTACATACTTCAATACTAATTAATACTAGATAGAATTATTGCAAACCTTTAGTTTCTGCCACAAATTTTGTTTAACAAATAAGCGGGGAATATATGTTTGCATGCCTACAGTACGTGTGCTATGTACAACTCCTTAATTGTATGTATTTCGAGAGTTATATAAAAACAATTATTCTTATGTCAATTAATGAATTCAGGGTAATCCTGGCAAAATATTGTGTACAAGTATTTTTGAAATATCCCTGGGTTGAATACATTTTTAGACACAGTACTTTAGGCTTTTCAATGCCAAGAGCATCCCATTGACATATGTTATTACTGAAACGGTTTAATCTAAAATCCAAAGTCACTGCAACATATAGGGTAATAATCTTAGCAAATGCCAGGGTATGGCTTAATAGCTGCAAGGGTACCTTTGAGGGAGCGAGGCAAATGATAGTGATTTTAAAAATTGTTGCCACATTGATATGATGCAATTTCAAAGAAAAATGCATATGTATAGTTGTAAGTTGCTGGTTGCAAAATTGTATTAAAAATATAACTGATTCAGCCTGTATTTTCATTTAACATTCCAGTAAATGATTTAAAACATAAATTGTTTAAATAAGAAATATGACTTAAATATAATGGTTCAAATAATTATAAATGTAATAGGACCAATAGGACCAATGGTGGTGCCTTGCTCAAACCTAATTTAACCAATCTTTCTCATAAAATAGACATTCTTTAATGAGCCCCCAGCCTTAACTTACATTAATTTAATTAGGAGGAAATTTGCTAATACATAAGCCCATATCCAAATTAGGGAGATATTTCATATAGCATTGTGAGATAATTAAGACAAATCAATTACACATATACTACATGATGATGCAACAAAGTATATAACATATTATATTAGTAAAATAGTTTATTTATAACATTTATATTTACCTAACAAACTATCCAGAGAAGGTACTCCTGTAGAAATCAATAATTGATTATTACGTAAAGATTTTTTTGCGATGCTGGAGTGACCACGATTACTTTTCTTCTTGAAACTCGATTCCATTTTCTACTCTGCCAATAATGGTAAATTCATCCTTGATAATTCACGAAGCATTAGAGAGAACACAGAAAAGACATTAAGACAAACCACAATCAGTGAGCTATATAGAGCTCACTAGTTATACACTGAGCTGTGTATATATACTGTGGCTAACCAGCCTCGTACCCAGCGCAATATAGAGATCTGTGACTAAGTGTGCGAGCGCGCGGGGGTGCTTGGGGAGGACGCGACAAGATAGCGAATAAAGGCGCCTGGGTACGAGGTTGGTGGTAGATAGATAGATAGACAGATAGATGTGTTTCTAATTAGGAGACTATACTGCTACTAGGAGTATAGAAAATTTCAATCACGTTCTTAGCTTATAAACTGCTACGTGGTTCTACGTGGTATGGTCAATTAATGGTACGGCACATTGCACTTACGTCATAACGCATAAAGCCATAAAGTTTATGACCTAAGCGTTATTTTTCTTCATAAATCTTTATAAGAATTACGCACTTATGCCAAGTTTCTTTTACGTATAGGGGTTTACGTCCAAGCCCCAAAGGTTCAGCCTGAAATTCGGTATAAATTCGAATAGGTATAGCCTGGATTTCAGGTTTGGAAATTTGTAGATAGAAGTTCAAACTTTGGAGTGGAAACACTGATGACATATGAGCATTCATATGAGTGATGTGTACTGAATTGATCCTGATGTTGAGAGAATCAAAATAGCTCAAGAGAAATATCAAGAGGTCGATAATCTTCAGTTTCATGTTGGTGATAGTGTGACTGGATTCCCAAACGATAATTCGCCATACTATGACGTTCATGTAACGATGAATGCATTTCACTGGTTTCCACACGAAGAGAAGAAGATTTACATACAGAAAGCCTACCAATCTTTGAAGTCTGGAGGAAAACTGGCTATTTTGTTTTCGGATAGGGTAGGCCCTGTTGGAGCGGACGAATCAGAGCTTCTCAACATCCATTTCTTGAGCAAGGATCAAGTTGAAAATCTGTTTCAGGAAATTGATCTTTTCAACAACGTTGTTGTTAAACAATTCATTCGAAAGGAATATTTTCAGTCCTACGAAACGTTCAAGCGTTGGATGAAAGCGTCGACTCATCATGATCTCGAGGAATTTGATCCAGCTTATGTGCACGGGGTTTGGGATGAAATGACTCTTTTTAACGACGATGGCAGCCTCATAGTCAATGTACCCGCTTTGTCTGTCACAGCAATTAAGCACTGATTAGATTTGAATATTTACTGTAGCTGAATTTATGAATGATGTTGCAAAATAGAAAGGGACACGCCAGTGAATTTGATTAAACTACAATCGAACACAGTAAGGAGTCACGAGGAAACATTTTATTTTTCAATTAAGTTACACATTAAAGTTGAAGTCCGTTCCATGCATATAGGTTCTGCTCATAACAAATGAAGGCCCCTCTGATGTGAAAATTCCCTAAATTTCGCATGTTTCTTATTTTTTCTTAACATAAACTCTCGTTCATATTAATTTAGAAGCGTAACGAACCTAAACAGTTTTGGATATTCAGAGAGCATATCGTATTAGTATGCTTCTTTCAATGCCATTAGGACTGTTCATTTTAAAAGTTGATTTTTTAACATTTTGTTTATGCTTTGTGATGCTCCCACACCGTTAGTTCAACTTTAATTTTTATTTTACCGGATGAATACGATGGTAGTGTTTCATCTATCTGGTTTATTCGCATAAACATGTACCAAGGATTCGGGAGCCTTAGCAGTGACCACGAGTACGAGATTCAAGGAGCCTTTCTTACGATGACGTTTTGGGGTACTTTCAATTTTCTGAAATGGGTTTAAGAACTATGATTTAACATGAAAAGCAAATTTTTGAGAATCAACAGACCATTTAAAGAATAAATTCAGCCTAAAATTAAAGACAGTCCCCGTTACAAGATCGTGGTTTTGAAAACTGTAAGTACCCCAAAAATGGCTGCATATTCGTCATCGTGAAAAAGGCTAATTCGTCATTTTCGCGCGTTGTTTGCTTACGTTATCAGCTAAAACTCGTAGTCACAGAGAAACTACACACAGGTAACAGTAACAGAGATGGCCATTGACATGCATATCTATATAAAGCCGGTTTTCCACTGGCGATATTTTTCGCGCGAATCGACCTTTTACTTTTGTTCCAGAGCTCTCAACTGCAACCACCTGGAACAAATTGCTCAAATTATAATACAAAGGAATAAAGTCGCTTCGCGCGAAAAATATCGCTAGTGGAAAACCGGCTTAAACATACGGCGCGGAAAATTTTGCCTCCTAATTTCTAATGCGCTCTGGCAAGCAGTTTTTGCACTTTTAGAAGAAAAAGATGCAATTTTATAAATCAGAGCCTAAATATCACAATTACTGATATATTATATTAATTGCGAATGTATACAGGCTATATCATTATTTTATGAATGCTGCATACTAGAAATACACCACACAAGCTAAAACACAAAATATGGCAACTGGTATACTAGTAAAATTATTGGGAATTACATGCATATAATATACGGATGTCACCTTCTTAAAATACCCCAAAAGCTATATAAAGGGATTTATCTCTATTATTTACAGATTGATTGCTCCATTCTAGGAGTATATCGGTATAAAATATCATTATAATATAGCTAGTGTCACGGCTGATCAGTATTTCTCAATTAATGCTCCGTTCACTAACTATACCGACCAAGAGTACATCAGAGCTGAAGAAATATTGCAACAAAACGCCATGTGAAGTATAATTATATATAAGGTCCTATAATATTCGTACGAGCATCCGAATATATATTGACACGAATTTTTCGCAGTTGGCAATCCAAGCCAGGGAAATTCTTATGCATTGAATTCAGCCTGCTAATCTATATACCTAGAGAAAAAATCAAATCAACTTTATTTACTCTTTGACCGAAGAATTACAGTATAGGTGTTGTATAGAAATTTTTCGAGCATTGAAGCTAAATGAACCGTTAGGTTTTCTGGTTAACTTCCATTGTTATTCTTATTAATTAAAATAATGTAGCTACTGTCAGACCGAATTGAAAAAAAATATTTCAGTTTCTCAATAGTTTATGTGACGAAGAATATAATAGTATAATACACATACATAATGATATAAATTTCAATAAATTTATTATTGAACAAATAAGTAAGATTTAGTTTGCTTAAAGGAAGAAAAACAATAGTAGATTTTTCATTATTTCTGGAAGATTCTTACATATATTATTTGCTCCAAAGGTATTTAGTATAATGGACTGTTACCAGTATTAGTTTTAACTTACGGTTTATACATGCATGTTTGAATTAGATGAATAGCCGGTAGTATAACTATGAACATCACTCGAGTATTGGACAAAATAATCGAAAATTTGCGGCAAAAGACCTAAAATTGTGCCAAGCATAAATAAATTTCAATACATGCAGGCGAAATACATTTTGAACCAATAAAATATCAGACAAATTTAATAATGGAGGGCACTTGCAGTATCTTTGCCCTAACTTAACAAAAAATATCAACCTAATTGCATGATTCTGTGGCGTAGCCAGCCTGACGATTTGGTCATGCTATGTAAATTTTGTTTTATTATCATTATTCATTTTTTTAGAAATTCATTGTTTTCACAGTTGTCGCAGAATTCACTGGCTTCGTTCAGTAAATTGACCTGGAAACGCTGCATGGTTTTACTTTTATCTTCAATTTACAACAATTTCACATAACAATTCTCGTACAACGATCTAAACAATCTCAAAACGCTCTAAAACATTTTTCCTATAATTGCTAGCGAGCGCAGCAAGCCAGCACACTAATCCGGAGATTGGCCGCATACGCCTCGGAGTCTGGGCACGTATATTGAGGCGAAATCTCGATTTTTGTCATTCATTTTGGCGAAAACCATATATGGTATGCGTTCTATATATGGAAGTTGCCTGCGTCTGCGAACCCCTGCAAGGTTATTTCCGTCATATTGCCTGCAGGGCAAAAAAACTGGCTTCGAGCCGTGCCGGCCCGCGCGACCCGCCACTTACTCACTGTTGTCATACATAGATTAAACCCGACAATATTGTCGGAAAGAAGGAAAACTAAATATCTGAGCAAGTATTTGGGCTAAAGACCCCGGAATACCACCAAACGATAGGGCTTGAAAAGACGATTTAAATAGTATCAAACATGCTTGATATGCGAGAAAAGGTTGTATGTGGCAGAAAACTCAGAAAAATCTATCCGCACACGGTGAGCAGTTGGCTGAGCAAACAGGCACGAGTAACCCGTAGTTCAGCTGATAGCTCTCGTGTGCTCAGGCTTAAAATGCATGCGATTTATTTATTATTCAATATTACACATCAAAGCGGCCTAATCTATTAAAAATATTGCGCAAAATACAAACTAAAACGGTTGCAGTGAGTTAGTACAGTTAGTTCAAATTTTCAGGATTATTTTGATATCTTTAGCGTCAAAATCGAGCCTTTAGAGGATTTTTGCCGACTTTTTTATATAAACATTCATGATGATATGAGTTATCACATCACCGGCAATACTATTTCACAATAATACAAATATCGAGAAAAAAATCGGGCAAAAAAAGCCGAAAAACTGCCCCCTTGGTCCAATTTTAAATCAAGAATCGATTTTTGGGATCAAATTTACCCTAGGGGGAGGGTATCATAGAGTTTTGTCGCCTTTCCAACCGCATGACAACATTCCGAGCCCGCAGTAAGCATGCACTTAACTCAAGTGAATATTATGGCGAATTGGCAACATATCGATCTAAAAAAAGCATGTATCTACTGAGGACAATTTCCTCCTTAAAATGGTTCTATTTTTATTAAAGTCGGTCAAGCATTTACACAGAAATCACAAGTTAAAATGAGCTAACCACTTTAAGATGCCACCTGATACGATGATAATGAGTTTTAAGATTAAATACGAATTGCGGTCGTATAGAAAGTTTTCGTTTTTGCTACTTCGTAGGCAAACCGCAAG